CTTTATCAAGAGTTCTTTGGTGTTATTTGTGTTGTATTATTTATAGTTGAATTTCTCTGCAGATTTTTTCTATATGCTTGTTTTTGTCTCGTCTACAAGCAGCCTGAATAGCTCTAGATAGCTGTCGGTACTGGGAATTCCTGAGAGGGTTCTCGATTCCAGCAATTTTAAGTTTTCTACGTTCTTCAACGAGGTCAAAAGTATCTGCAGACATCCACACTTTTTTTGGTCCGGTTGAGACGGCATTAGACTGTGCCTCGCAGTCAGTCAAGGTCTGTATCAAGGTATTTTTAAAAGATAACTAAATCTTTTCGGAATCATGAGTGACGATAGTTGGTAAAATATTTTCGAATCTTTCATTACATTGGATTTTAAATTGTTGTGTATCTTTTATTTTTGATATCCTCTTGTTTCGGATCCTAGCACATGCCTTGAATTTTTGCTTTAGCGTTGCAACAAGAAGTTGGTGGTCAGAGCCGCAGTCAGCGCTAGGTCGTGTTTTACATTGGCTAATAGATGTTTTCCAGCGATGTTTAATTCTAGCGATTCCAGAATTCGGTGTCGTCCGTTAGGTGAGATCCAAGTGTACAATCTACTGGGGTGGTGCCTATACATAGAGTTCATTATTGTCAAGTCATTGTCAACGCAGAACTGGATAAGGCGGTCTCCCTTGAATTGCGTTCACCTATTCCATATCTACCCACAATATTTCGTATATGTTCGTCATCGATAGTAACACCGATTTTTGAGTTTAAATCACCCATGATGATAGCGATTTCTTTATTTGGGATATTTTGCAGATACGATTCCAGCTCGTTGAAAAAAGATTCAGTTGTATCATTATCAGCAGTTGAGGTAGGCGCATAGACCTGAATCAAATGTACAATAGAGGGAGATCCATTTAGTTTTAAGGAAATTATACGATCACTGATAGCTTGATATTCCAGTATATAAGGAGAAAGAGATTTTGAAACCCAGAAGCCAACACCATTGATACTTTTGTTAGTGTTACCTTTTAAAATATTACACGTAAATTAGACATATTGATTCCCTCTTCAGAGAAATGAAACTCTGCATTTCAATAAAATTAAATTATTAGCTGTAGCAAGTAACAGAAACTACTTTCCAGAAATTCCAAAAATCAAAGAAAAACTAAGCAAATTAATTTGTTTCTTTTTAAAACTTCATGTCTTTGCATTCTTTTATTATTTCTTTCAACTTTACATTATTTAAATTCTAAAATATCCTTGATATTCTTTTGTTTCTATCTCAAATCCTTATTTTACCCTTTTTGCTGCTAAAATACCTTAGAATGATAAATTTATTTGTACTTACAAATACTGCAAAATTTCAATAGTGCGAATTTCTCCCATTCGGCATTCCTAGTCCTGCTAGACCTGCTACTACTTTTTAATGTCGTACTCAAAATAGTACTTTTATACCGTTCAAAAAACTGCCGTCACCAATTTACTTCCCAGTATTCGTAGCTCTTTTCATAAAGGTCAGTAACAGATCACCTCTTTCACCGCTTAAAATAAAAATTTCCCTTTCACCCTCATTTTTTCAACAAATGATCTTTTTAGTCCTTCAAAATCCCCGAAGATCCAGAATTCTCAAAAATGGCATATTTTCTCATTTCGGTAAACAATCTAACAACGAGCTTCATAATTCGATTTCCACAAAATATACCCGAGTTTTTAAAATCGACACGAGGCTGTTACTTATATGTTGTTTATTCAAACCGTGGAGAATAGGTAAGCTGTTTTCCCATGATTTTTACTAACGAAACAAAATTGTTTATTATATATATTTTAAATTTAATAACTATCCTACATTTAACAATTCACCCACAAGTCTATAATACTTTTTCATCTACCTGTAGAAATAACAATGAACCCGAGATCGTAACATCCATAAAGATCGAACGTCTGCGCTGGATGGGCCATGTTGAACGGATATTGGAGGGCAAAACATATAATGGGGCAAACACTAGTAGGTCAAAGGGAAGACCCAAACTTAGATACATGGAACTAGTGGAACAAAATCTGAAAACACTTAAGATTACCAACTGGAAAAACAAAGCAAAGAACAGAACAGTATGGCGGAAAATCCTAGAACAAGCCAGTACCCAGAAAGGGTTGTCGAGCTACTGATGATCATGATGTAGAAATAACCAATTGTTATAGCAAAAGCTGCTATTAAAGTGTTATGACTCGTTTTAGCATATCTCTGTCTCATCAGACATTGGGGCTGATACAAATTCAAACTTGGAAAGCCCAACGAATGTCTCCTAAAACTTAACCACTGCAGTGGTTAGCATACAGAGGTGCCACCTGCTTTGACGGCCATGAACGAAAAATATTTAACAGTTGTGTAGGTATGAGACAGGCTACGCAAAAGTATTCCAGTCCAACTTTTCCTAGACCGTAGAAAATGCGCTCTAGTGGTCAGTATGCTGTCATTTGCTTGGATTAGCGGATGGCCGTCTTTGTTATGAGTATGGGCAAACCTCCTCACATATATTTCGAGGTTCGGCCTTTATATTCGGAAATTACCCTTAAAGAGAACAGGTTACTAAAGTATTAGAGGTTGGGAACGGCAGAAAGAGCTCTGATATTTGTCTCCGAAGACGCCTGGGCATCAGAAATGGCGAAGACTAGGGCCTATGGGCCTAGTCCCTTTATAGGGGTAATACAATGGATCCGTCTTGGGAGGTCTAAGTGAACTGAAGGGCTCAAAAGTGGGGCCTGTCCACATCTACCATAACCATAAGATTGTACCCGAAAGTTTTATATTATGTCTCTGAAATGTGTATAATTTTTCAAAAACCTATAGGTGATTGATTCTCTTCTCAATGATTCCTAAAGTTAAGATTTAAATCTTCTGTATATACTGAAATTTTCCGAGATTCTGTTTTCTTGGAATTGCATTTGTCCATGCCATTTTGGTGTCTGATGAAGTTTAATTTTGTTTTGTTATACAGAGTGGCCCAAAACTTTCTTTAGGATTGAGATCGGGTGAACGTGGAGGCCATTCAATTCTACCTTGTCTACCAATTTATCGTCCGGGAAATATCTCATCTAAATAACGCCGAACATTTACACCAACTATCTGACGTTAAATTTCTTTCGATAAAAAATGGCCCAATTAAATAAGTACCCACTATAACTGACCATACTTTAATTTTTGTGGTCTTTGAGTATGGTTTTCACGCATTCAGTGTGAATTTCGCACGAGTTCAGCTATTCAATACGAGTTCAACCATATGTTCACTTGATTTTATGTAGTCTGAAAGATCTTAAATACATAAAACAGTGCAAAATATGTAGATTTTAATAAATTAAAATATTTAAATGGAGAATTCTGTGATTTTGACATTTGTTCACCATTTAAATTATGAACTAAAATTGACAGTAGTTGTGGTTCAAAAGTTTCTGCAATTTAAATTGCTTCTCTAAAATGCCGTTCTCTAAACCGTTCTCCTATTCTTAAGACGACGGTACAAAAAACTGTAAGGCGATTTGAGGAATCTGGAGAAATAAAAGATAGATACCGATCAGGTTGACCGAAACGAGTTATCAATGACAACAAAACTTCAGATATAAGCAAAGTTTTGTTGAAGATCCACATACATCCCCAGGCAGGGTTGCACAAGTACATGATGTAGGTCATTCTTCAGTCTCACGTTTATTACGTAAAAATAAATTTAAATCATACAAAATTAACTTATTGCAAGAATTAAGTGAAGATGACTTTGGTCGTAGATTAGAGTTTACTGAGGTAATGATGGATAAAATTGAAAATTATTAAAATTTCGTTAACAGAATATGTTTTTCCGATGAAGCAACTTTTACACTGTGTGAAGTGTAAATCGACACAATTTAAGGTACTGGTGTGACGTAAATTCACACTGAAGACTGAATGCGTGAAAACCATACTCAAAGACCACAAAAATTAAATGTATGGTCAGATATAGTAGGTACTTATTCAAATGAGTCATTTTTTGTCGAAAGAAATTTAACGGCAGATAGTTGGTGTAAATGTTCGGCGATATTTAGATGAGATATTTCCTGGACGATAAATTGGTAGACAAGGTAGAATTGAATGGCCTCCACGTTCACCCGATTTCAATCCTAAAGATTATTTTTATTAGGGATACTTGAAAAATTCAGTTTGCAAAACTTAACCAGCAAGTCTTGCAGAGCTAAGGCAACGAATTATCAATGAATCTCGAATAATTTCTGGACAATCAGGAGAAATGTGGTAGACGCCTTCTACCATCGATTAGGGTGCTGTCAACTCACAAATTGAGCATATTTTGAACACTTAATAACGTAACTACTATGTTAAAAAATGTTCTAAACTATCAATTGTTACGTTTTAATGTATTTGAAAATAGTTAGTATTAAAAAATTTATTGAAACAATTTAGGCGTTGCCAGACTTCGGTTTTATGCATTTGTGACCTTCCAGATTACATAAAATCATAAGTGTTACATATGGTTGAACTCGTATTGAATGGGAAATTCCAATAATGACTGAATATACAGGGTGATGTATTTGAAAAACCAAAGTTACTAATAATATAAGAAAAACGGCAAATCTGGCAACATTGTAAATATCAAATATGGAATCTCCGTATCCCAAAATAGGTGTACCTCAAATTTTGTACAATTATGGTTAGCATTTTACGAGATAATTAGCCGTTTCCAGACTTTTGGGCCACTCTGTAATAAATTACTTGCTTCAGTGAATAATCATCAGTTTTAACTACATGATGCTTTTTTATAACCTTAACTACGATTACAGGTATTTACATTCGTTTTGAGCATTTGTCTTTATTTCTAAATTTAATTTTTTTCCTTAATTTGATCGTATATTTAAATGAATAACGAGTTGCATCTTAAATAATTTTTTTAGCAGTCGATACGTTTTTTAATTAATTTATTGCCAAACTCTCTTCACCTAGCAATTAGTTCAAAATGAAATTATATGTTTTAGGTAACTATCCATTTCAACAGAGAATTTCAAACGGAAACTCAATCATGCGCAACTCAAGTCGCAAAGACCTAACGCCCTTGATGAACGCCGTCAATAAGCTCGATTCTGAAGAAAAACAACCTTGGATCTACTCAATGATTCAAAATCAAGAAAACCTCGAAGATGCTGAAAACGCAAACGACAACGATCGAAACGTCTTACTACAACTAAAACGCGAGAATACAGTTAAAGATATTACCCAGAAGCTAGCGAATCAAAATATATTACATAGTCCGTCCGAAGAGAATAAAATAAATCGAATAGGTGATATGTCTGGGTTAATATCTAAAGCTAAGGAAGGACTGGCCAAATCAAAATCAAAAGCGGATGTTTTGAAGACTCCTAGTGGCGAAAACGTACCTAAAACTGAGATTAAGAAGTCCGAGAACGAACTAAGATGGGAAGAACTGATAGCTAGCCTTAATCGATCCCTGAACTTATGTGATATGGACTTTACCGACCTAGGAAGCGACGACGAAGTAGATATACTAGCCCCAGTAGCTGTAACGAACGGTATACCTCCTCCCCCTCCGCCTCTTAAGGACATGTGCAGCGCTCCACCTCCTCCGCCGAGAATCGTACCACCTGCACCAGCTGCTCCAGCTCCTCCTATGTTTAACCTCCAAAGACAAAATAAATCCTCAGAAACCAAAATACCAATTAAGAAGAACAAGAAAACTGTCAAACTATTTTGGAAGGAAGTTAGAGATGATGCCATCAGTCATCTTAAACTAAAGACTGGATTTATTTGGGATGAACTGTCTCCAGTTACTGTGGATACCCAAAAGTTGGAGCATTTGTTTGAGTCCAGGGCGAAGGACCTTATTACTAAGGTGAGATTTTTTTCATCTTTATTTTAACCAAATAGAATTGTCATAAGATGTAACTGATAATAATTATTTAATTATTAATGTGGCATCAAGAATAATAGGTTTCAAGGTTAAACCGAATTGACTTATCAATAACAATAATATTAATTACACAACAAAAAACTATGTGCATCTTAGAATTTCTACATACAGAACTTTCTTTCAGATAAATATATATCTTTCTGCTTTTCTGTTTTTTTTGCACTGTACTCAAAAATATAATAATAAATTAGTAGAGTAAAATAGAGTAAATAATTATTACACATATACGGGCTTGGTTATCACCTCTTCAACAATCCCTCGGCTATTTAAAACAATACAATTCCAAGATCTTCTTCTTTTCTTAGTCGTTAACCTGATGCAGGTATCGTGATATCATGAAGCTATTAGCTAAATTTCCCAATGTTCCTCCACGTTTTTCTATCTTCTGCCATTCTAGCACATTCTGACAATGGAGCGCCAATGGTAGCAACAATATGGTCCGTGTATCGTGTGGGAGATCTACCTCTATTTCTTTTGCCTTCTACTTTTCCCTGGATGGTAAGTTTTTCAAGACCATTTCTTCGAAGCACATGTCCAAAATAGCTTATTATTTGTTCTGATATTTGTGTTCTTAGTCTTTTCTTTATGTTTAGCTGGTCCAGTATGGATTCATTTGTTCTTCGGGCCACCCATGGTATTCTCAGCATTCGTCTCCAGCAGTACATCTCAAATACATCTATGTTCTTTTTGTCTTTCTCAGTAAGGGTCCAGCATTCCGATGCATAAGTAAAAACTGGAAAAACTAGACTTCTTACTAGTCTCATTTTTGTATCGGTAGTTATTTCATGGCTTTTCCAAATTTTCGTTAATTTTGCCATAGCGCTTTTTGCGATTGCTGACCGCCGCTTTATTTCTTCAGTACAGCCTCCTTTGTTGGTTATTAATGAGCCCAGATACACAAATTTATCTACAACAGCGATATTGTTTATACTGACCAGATGATTTTGATTGTTGTTAGCTCTGTCAATTATCATGATTCTCGTTTTATCTGTGTTTATTTTAAGGCCCATCGTTAAGCTTACGTCTTCTATCCGTTGTAGCAGGTGAATCAATTCAGCTTCAGAACTAGGGAGGATAGTAGTATCATCTGCATATCTCAAGTTGCAAATTTTCTTCCCGCCAATGGTGATGCCACCTTTCCAGTCCTCAGTAGCTTTCCGCATTATCCATTCACCATAGATGTTAAATAGAATTGGGCTTAGTATGCAGCCTTGTCTCACGCCCTTTGTGACCCTGAAACTATCGGTTAGTTCCCTATTTATTCTAACTCTGGCATAATTGGGGACTCCCATTTCAGACAAAACCTGCCACATTTTACTCCAGTTAACCAAATCGAAAGCTTTACTATAATCTATGAAGCACAAATATGTTGTGATGTTGAATTCTCTGGATTTTTCTACAATCTGCCGTACGTTCAAAATTTGTTCTCTAATACCACGTCCGGGAACGAAACCTGCTTGTTCCTCCGCAATGTTAGGTAGTAAAAAGGGCTTTATCCTCTAGAGAATTATGTGTAAGAGTATCTTACTGCAATGCACAATTAGAGCAATTGTCGATAGTTGCTACATAAATCTTTCGCTCCCTTTTTATGAATGGGAATATATAGTGATTGTGTCCAGTCCTCAGGCCATTTACCTGTCTCCCACACTCTTTGACAAATTTGATGTATTATATCCACTCCAACGTCATCTAAGGCCCAAATCATTTCAATAGGTATATTATCTGGACCGGCAGCTTTCTGACTTTTTTGCCTCATAATTGCTGCTTCAACTTCACTTTTGAGTACGTCAGATTCCGTCGCAAAACTGGCATCTTCTTGTTGTGATGGGGCGTCTGTGCTTTCCTCCATCATCAGTCGTCCACAGTATTCTTTCCCTCTGTGTAAAATATCTTTTTTAGAAGTTCCGTTATCATCTTTGATAGCAAGGTAGTTTGGTGTAAAGGAACGTGTTATCTGCTTTATTTTTTTAAACATGTCTGTGGTCTCAGTTTTGATTTTATGCCCTTCTATTTCTTAGAGTAAAGTAATACCTTATCTCCAAGATATTATATTTCTAATTTCAAAGGGTTCTTTTGGACTTCGGAGACTCTTTTACTCTGTAACGATAAGGCTTGTAACCAGCCGATTTGTAATGGGAGACAATAGGGTGTATATACCGGGTGGTGAATCGTCTAACAGCATATAGGAAAATCAATGGAAAATTCTAAACTATTGAATTCCAGCTTCTCTAATTATTTTACATCAAAAGTCATGAGATACTATTTGTAGAGGACTGAAATTTGTATTTCTGTCTACACTATAAATTTTTGAATTTAAATTTATTTCATAGAAAATAATATTGTATCCAGACATTTATTTTTTGATAATATTGACATTGAAATGACATTTAAAATATTTATTTCTTTTTAAAAATTTTAAGGCTGTAGAATTAGGAATGTCAAACTGGTCTGTAAGGGTTTAAGAATTCAGGAACCCTTAAGTTCCTGAATAATAATTTGTTTAAAAATTTTATTTTTTCAATTTCGATGTATATGAGAGAAGGTAACTTCAGTTTTTATAAAGTATATTACCAATATACAAAAAAAATACAATAAGTGTTTATAATATATTCTTTAGGAGCATCAGTAATTTATATACTTTAATACATTTCCACCAATTATGACATATATGTATAATTAATTTACAAATTCTATGTGCACCTTAATACTTTTTTTTTATTTTATTTGGTGATCTTCACTACGCATGTGCGGGTTTTCAGGAGGTGAGTGTTTTAAAATCTTGGTGATGGACCCTCTATTGCATTGTGCCTTCCCGCAACCTTAAAACACGTACTATCTATTTCGCTAGTTACTCTATTTTCTATTTTATGTTATAGGAATGCGATTATTCTAGTAAAACATGTACTTCTTCCGCTTAGTATGCAATATATCATAAACATATAAAAATGGGTTTTTAAGAGTTGCTTTTGTTGTTATTATACCTATAGATACAAGTTAGATTAATAATAAATGTTAATTTATATTCAAAATTGTTGAAGTACTTAAGTAAATGTGAATATTGTTCAAACGCCAGCAATTGATGTATCCTTTGGAGATCGGTAAACTCATCACCGCAGATATATTATCGATTAACTAATCACCAGGATTTTTACTTGGTTTACGCGTTTGAGGGTTTTTCAGGGGGTCGAGATATATCTTACAAGGGTTAGTTGGCTTTGTTAATTCCTTTAATTTAATTTGTATTTTGAAGCAGAGTAAATTGTGATTTGAGTTTATGTCAGCGCCGTGGTAAGTTTTTACATCTTTAATATTGTTTCGAAATCGGTGGTTTATTAGGATGTAGTCTATTTGGTTCCGTACTATTCTACCTTGATGTCCATCTTGAGGGGATTTCCACGTGTAAAGACGCTTTCTGGAAGTTGAAACAAGGTATTTGTAATGGCGAAGTAATTTTCTTGGCAGAATTCTATTAGACGTTCACCTCTTTGATTTCTCTCTCCCAAGCCAAACTTTCCGGCGATGCCCTGCGTCATCTTCTGTCCAACTTTAGCGTTAAAGTCACCCATAATTATTATTGCTTCGTGTTTCTTTGTTATTTTTAGCACTTCTTCTATTTGACGGTAAAATTCTTCAATATTCTGCTCATCTGCGTCAGCAGTGGGAGCACAAACTTGGATGATATTTATATTTACAAGTTTAGCATTCAGCTGTATTACTTCATTATTAATTAAATGTAATA